TTTTGCTCACTGTCTGCTTACATCTGCCACAAGCCCATAGCACGTTTGGGCAGAGAGCTCTGGACGGAACAGTTGGCCCAGTCTGCCTGCAAATTGCTGTGACAGTGAGGGTGGTTTTGGCCCCTGCGTGTTCGTGCTGGAGGTTGGCTTGCAACAGGCCCTGGCACCCCCCATTGAGGGGGTTTGGTGAGCGTCAGCTAGGAGTGTAAACCATCTCCTTTACTTCCTCTGCTTGCTATTTGAAAGGCCCCTCAGGCATCTGGGTACAGACTCCCTGGGCTACGTCTGTGGCACAGCTCCGTTGCATGCTGTGTAGGGCAGTGCCCAGCGGCATGCTTGCCCTAGCAGCTACCCGTGCTGGCAGAGTGGGAGCCTCGTCAGGAACAGAGGGGGAGCAGCCAGTTGGGATGGAGGGTCTCAAGAGGAGTTTTGCTTCTTCCCAGCATGACACACACCAGGGCAGCCCTTGGATTTGCAGGTTTTCCCTGTGGGTAAAGCTATAATTTCTGTCCTCGTTACGCATCGCCACAGCTCCTCTCCAGCTCTGGGACTTTATGCCATAAGCCATGCTGTGCCTGGCAAGCGTGCTTGTGCTGCGGCAGAGGATGTCACCCTTGGTGGGGCTGGATGCCCAGAGGCATGTTGCTGGTTGGCGTGCATCACAGCCTCTCCATCATGTGTGCTTCACCCTTGTGCTGTGACCTGACCCAAAAAGCAGCATACACTGAAGAAGCAGGGTGGAGGAGGGGCAGGGCAGCATCTCTAAGTATCACTTCTAGCCAGTGATCACAGCAGTGTTGGTGGGAAGGGATCTTTGGAGATGTCTAGACCAGTGTCCCACTCAACAGTAGACCAGATCAGCCATGGCTTTGTCAACAGAACCCCGACAACCTCCAAGGATGGAGGTTCCCCCCTCTCTCTGGGTACCTGTCCCATCACTGCACCACCCTCCTGGAGAATAAATTTTCCTCCATAACCAGCTCGATCTTCCTGAGCTGCAGCCCCTGGCTCTTGGCCCTCGTTCTGCTCTTGCCACCCAGTCAATGTCCATCCAGCAGGGCTGGCCCTGCAGTGCAGGTGCCATCTTGGTCATCGATCCCATGTGTTACCAGCGATGTGATAACCAGGAGGGTAGACAAACCTTCCTCCCTTCCCTGCTCTCCCTGCTCAAGGGAGATGTGATGCTCTGGGTGGGTTGGGGGTTGGTCCTGCCCATACCCATCCTGTGGGAAGTGGAGGCTCCTCATAAAACCTCTGGCCACCCTTGCCCACCCCCATCCTAAAGCAGAACCGGTGTCTGCAGCACAAGGCAGGGCTGCTCTAGTGTTTGGCTGAGGGTGGGGGCGGAGGGGTGTCTATCCCCATGGTGCCTCTTCCCAAAGGGGCTGCCATGTGTTTGCATAGCAGTATGGTTGGGTGGGATTCCTACACCTGGCACAGGGCAGGAGGGATGTGGGGACCTGGTTCGGCTCCAGTAAAAGCCTCAGCAAACCTGGCTGGGAGAAATGCCTTCTCCGAAGCTGTGCTTTGGGTTTCTCCTTCGTCAGGGGCCTTAAATCATTGCCTTGGAAAGGAGCATTGCTTTCAAAGACCTGTCTTCCAGGAATGGCTCCCTCGGCCCTTCTGGATGAGTGCCAATGTGTTTGTACTGTGTTTAAGGACAAATAGGAAGTAATTCAAGGTGGTTTTTCCCCCTTCTCAGCTTAGTCCTGCTGCCATGAGCTACAGGCAAGATACCGGCCACAGTCCTGAGAAGGAGAGCTGTGCACCCCAGAGCTTTCTGCCACTCTCAAACCTTCCGTGGGGCTGGGCACCAGGCAGGCAGAAGCCAGGCAAGGCAGGCAAGTCTGTGGGTCCATTGCTGCACTGAGCCTTTCTCCGTGCAAGGCTTGGTGGGTGATGCAGTGTCTCCAGTTTCTCTGCTGAGCAGATCCCCAAGGGTAAGGCCAGGAGAGTCAATGGTCTTTTGTAAGCCAGGAGGAAAGGGGAAGAGAAAATATCTTTACCTTATGCAATAGAAGAAATCAGAGGAGAGCTTGAGTAAGGTGCTGGGACTCTTACTTTAGCTCTGTTATCTGTATCTGTCCATCCACCCATCTGCCTAGTCATCTGTCGATTCATTCATCCATCCATCCGCCTATCTATCGTTCCACCCAACACCACTGCTAGTTGTTGGTCCTTCTCTCCCACCCTTCCTCTACCCATGCACCCGACTGTCCACCCATCTCTCCATCCACATACACAGCCAGCCAGCCAGCCGCTTATACACTTATCTCTCCATCATTTTACAAATCTCTGCATCCCTGTATAAGCCCGCCCATCCATCCATCCATCCACCCCTCCATCCATGCATCCCCTTGCATAGTCATCCATCCTTTCACCTTCATACACTTCCTTCCATCCCATCTGTGCCCATCCAGCCAGCTGTCCAGCTGTCTGCGATCACACGTATTCATTCATCTGTCCACACATCCATCTTCTTCCACACTTCAGCCTATCTGCCTGTTTATCTGGGCCCATTCCAGCTACCTCTCCTCACACAGATGCCTCAGCTTAGATGATCTCCCCTCTTTCTGTCTGTCAGTATATGCTCTAAGGTTTTTCAAGACACTTGAAACACACTTGTCTGATCAGTGCCGTTTCTCAAAGCTCCCCACGCCCGGCTAGTGTCTGAGATGATCCTGAGGCATCTCACCAGCATCTTATTCACTACAACACAATTTTTCCCCACCTTTTCTTAACACCCACTTTCCCAGCAAGGATAGCATCCCCAAAGACGCTGTTTCTCTGTAAGAAGTAGGTGTCCTGGTGCACCGTCTGCAGGAGGACTCAGACTTGCCAGGGACTCCTCCACGGCCAGCTTCACCCTAGGGCTTTCTCCTTTGCAGATGGGCTCAGGCTGTGGGCTTTCACACAGTGAATGACTGGATCATACCCATGTGGTCCCACCTATTAACATGACCCAGGAGTTTATGTCTAGAGATGGAGAAAAAAGCAGGACAAGCACAGGGAGTGGGTGTGGGGTGTGTGCTTCTCCCGTCCCTCCCCACCTTCAGCTTCCTGCAGCCTCCCCAGGCTCACTGGGCAGCTCAGTGTTTTACCGTCCTGGGTGGTGTCTTCTGCTGTGGATTCATTTAATCACTGTTTTATCCGCAGGTGCTGGCATCCACGGCATCTGATGGACGTGCAAAAAAACACTTTCTTTTGCCTGTTTTCATTTGCTGCCCCTTATTTTATTAGGAAAAAGAGCAAGCAGTCCTCCTCTATTTGTCGTCTCCATGTCACCCATCATTGCTTAGGTGTCTGTCACATCTCTGCTCAGTTGTCTCCTTTTACGGATGAAGGGACCGAGTCTGCGAGTCAGCCATCCTTACGCAGGGGCTGTTTCCAGCCTTTGCTATTCCTGTTTCCTTTCTCCGCTCTGTTTTCAGCTGAACTGTGCTCCTAGCAGCATGGCGACAGATTTGTGCGCAGCTTTTAGGGTACAGCGCTTTCCATTTTGTTCTCAATCCCTTTCTGAATAATTCCTAGCCTTGGGTTTGCATTTTCAGTCACCACTGAGCTGATGGTTTCAGGGAAGTGAGCACGATAACTCCAAGATATGTTTCCATGGAGGTTGCAGCTCATTTGGAGCCGTGAATGTGTAGGGGAAGCAAGGCTTCATTTTCCGTGTGCATCCCTTTGCGTTTATCAACAGAGTGTTACTGCCTGCTGGGTCTGTATCGTGATGTCCTTCCGCAATGCATTTGCACCCAGCTGTAATTTGGCTGCCCTGACAGCCTCAGCAGCATGCTGTCTCCTCTCACTGCCTCAACACACTTTTCCCTGTGAGTTACGAGGGTGTTGGGCAGTTCTGATCCAGCTCTGATCTCTGTCGAACTTCACCGGTGACATCTTCCACTGCCACGTCTGACCGCTTGTTCTCACCTTTGGTCTCCTGACCTTTAGCTGCTATAAATCCTTGCAAGGACTTTCCTCGTGTGCTGGGACTGCTTGGTTTCCTTGCACCTTGTGAAATGTGTTTTTGAAACCCAGGAGTATTTTGAGAACTGAAGCACACTTGTCTGTGCACGAAGGCTTGAAGAAGCCTTGAAGGAACCTCATCTCTTGCCCGTCCACCTGTCCTGCTTCACCCTGTGTCATGGACACACACACATACACACACACACACCACATACACGGTTTTATCCTTGCCACATGCAGCCAGTGTAGCAACATGGGAAAGATTAAATTGCTAGGGATCATTAATGAATGTCAGCTCGAGCTCCTGTCCAGAAACCTGAGAAAATTCTGTTAGGCAGCTGGCGCCCAATGAGCTGTATTGCCCCACTTGCAAGATGCTAAATCAAGCAGCTCAGCAAGGCATCATTTTATTGTAGAGAAAGAAATGCCAGACAGGGAAACAAACAGCATAGCATGCACCGAGCAGCTGCCCCTTTCCAAAGCCTGGCACGGGTAGGTTGCAATCCTCCCACCTGATTTCCTGGGCGGGCAATTACAAGGACAGCTGCCTGCTTCCCACCTCTGCTAGTAAATAACTTAGGTTTGCTGGTGACATCTCTCTGCTGGGAGTTTCTGAGGCTTTCATTTGGTTTGCATCCTGCAAAGTCACGTAGATACAGGAGTGGCAATGGCTTGCTGGCGTGAGCACCTGGCTGTGCTGTGGGGCATTTGGCTGGTGAATCATACATGCAGCCCTGACGTGTTTCCTCGAGGGTGAAGGTCAGAGGAAAGCATCCCGTGAGATGGAGGTGGTCCATGAGTCCTGATCCTCGGGTCTTTGCCAGCTCATCCACTCTAGTCTAAGGTTAAAATAATAATAAGGTTATTGGGGCCAGGATGAGAACTTGGGCTTCCGTGGCCACCAACACAGTGTCAGTCCATGCCCCAGTCCACTCACTTCCTAGGCATTCTGTGATTCTGTGAAAGATCCTATTTCTGAGGCAGTGGCTACTGTGGGGCTCCGAGCTCACCTGTTTTTCTCCTCTTCCTCCCCACAGACAGCCACATCCAGTATGAGCGGGTAGGCGCAGACGTGACCATGAAGTGTGGCTCCATGGACTGGGATGCAGCTGTCACCTGGACGGTCAATGGCACCGACATTGATGGGTCCCACCTCAACGGGTCCTACCTGATCCTGAAGAATGTCAACCTGACGCAGAGCGGCCAGTACTCCTGCTATGAGGGCTCCTCCTGGCACCTCAAATACCAGACCTACCTGAGGGTGGGAAGTGAGTACCCTAGCATGTGACACTGAGGGGGACAGAGCCACGCTCTCTGCTCCCATATTGACCTCTCACAGCCCCCTCCTGCCCTAAACTTTCCATACATATAGTTGCCTGCCACACCCCACCATACAAGCTCCCCATGGCATGCTAATCCCAGAAGCAGGATCCTGGAATCAGACGCTCCTGCCCCAAGCTTTGCATCAAAGATGGTAGATTAAATGATTGCCTCGGGAATTATTTGGGAAGGGATGTTACTTCTCCATCCACCCCAGTGCCATGACCACCATCTTTGCAGGTGGAAAGAGTTGGGGCTGAGCTGCCAGAGGGGGTTGCAGCCAGCAAGGAGAAGTCCTGGCCAGGGCTACTGCAACACGGTTGTTTCAGAGGAGCAGCCAAAAGGTGGTGGCAGTTGCACTGTGTTTACAGGAGCCTTTGTGCGCAGACATGTGGGAGGACAGCTGCATGTTTCCCAGCATTTTACATATCTTAAGTGGGAGATGTGATGATTCACGGGTCTCAGCGCGGGAGATAAGAGTTGTGCTGTATTTCACATGATGCTGAGAACTGATAGCAGCTGTGTGTTTGGTGGGCTGCTGTGTTTGTACAGCTGATAGCAACGTGTGTGTTTCACAGTACAGTGTCTGCAACCAGCAGCGGTGGGTGTCTGGGAGGACCAGCTGGCATAGCTAGCTGTGTGGAATGGTAACTGCTGTGGAGGATGCTGCGAGGCACCAGCTGGGACCCCCACTGGCTGTGGATGCATCGTGTAGGTGGCTGTACATTTCCAGGTTTGGAGGACATGGCAAAGCCTTCCTCTGCTCCTTGTCTCATCTTCCGCACCTTGCATAAGAGCCAGGGTGGCATTTCTGTTCTGGACAGTGGTCCAGGGGCAGAGAGTCACAGGAGGCCCAGCCACGGCCAGCGTAAGCCCTGCAAATCATGCAGAAGGGGCTCACCCCACCTGTAGGTTAGACCGAAGAAATCTAAGTTTCAGGGAAGCTGCACGGTGTCCAACTCATGGTTCAGGATCTGCTGGGAGGGATCCTGGCACATGGGACGATGGGAGGGGGTGCTGGAAGAAGCTGAAAGGCAACATGAGAAGCAGGCTGGGGGGAGCAGTCAGCGTAGGGCAGGGGGTACGGCAGCGAGTAGGTGTTGAGGCTGGGAGCATGGCAGACACAAGGGCACTGGCAGGTGAGTCAGGGACCTCTCAGCTGTGCTGTTGGGGTGAGGAGGTGTTCACAGGTAGTTCGGAGGCAGGGAAGGCAGCAGCAGGAGGAGGCTGTGCAGCTCCTCTGCTTGGGCACGTGCTTGCCAGATCCCATCTGAGGAGAGGTCCCAAGCCGTGCCAGTGCACGGGGGGCTGCAGCTCAGGTCTGGAGGAAATGAGGGGACCGGGGAGGGGGCTGCAGCCTCCTCTCCAGCCACCTCCTTTGCAGCTGTGGCATCACTGTGACTTTGCAATGGCTCTTCGTCTGCTAAGCACCTCACTAATAGTAATCCCTGTCAATCCGCTCAGGAACCCGTGGGAATTGCTTAGCATTAGAGTCCAAATCCTGCTGTTTCCTATTACCCTGTGTTCCCATTGCTGGAAGCTCACAGCCCCCCTGAGCACTGGGCAGCTGAGGAGCCTGGTTGGACACTGCAGGGGCCACCAGCCCCAGGAGAAAGGGTGACAAATAAATAAGCGGATGCCCCACGTTAACACAATTAAGTATGCAAGGAACTAATCAGGTGAGACGCTTTTAGTGGTAATTAATTTAATTGCCTAGATTTTAATTTAATGTTCTCTGCGAGGTTTCTTTTCCCAGCACTGCCATCCCCAGCCCCTGCCTGCACCACCCCCAGCTTTCCTGCCTCTGCGGGGCATGATTGATTCCCTGGAGGTGCGTGGGCTGCTGCAGAGGTGTGGGTTTAGGAGCATCTCAGGAGGGGATGGCAATGGGGATGGGGATGCAGATGGGCATGGGTGTGGGCACAGTGATGAAGATGGAGATGAGATGGAGGTGGGCAGCTCGCAGGAGGTTTGCAGCATGGCCCTGTGGTAGCATCCCTGCTGCAACTGAGTGCACTGGGACTCCAAATCTGGGATCTGAGGGATCTCAGACTTGTTTTGCTTCAATTGCATGGGAAGTTAAATGAAAACAGGACTGTGCCTGCATTTTCCCCTCTTACTGGGGCAACAAGAAAGATGACGTCAGCAGGAGTAAGGGGCTGGGCGATCTCACTAAATGAACTAGGGTACCTGGAGCATGCCCCCAAGTGAGGAAGCAGGGGCTCCTGGGCAGACACCGCCACAAGAAGAATGTGGGAAGGGAACGGAGAAGCAGTGAGGACAGGGAAAGGGTGTCAATTAGCAAAGTGAGCTCTGTTGTGGGGGTCAGTGAGCACAAGGATAAAGGGAGACCTGCCAGGAGTCAAGCTGAGTGAGACCTTGCAGAGGAAATGAAAAGAGGGGTTAGCTATATAAATACAGAGCAAACGATGAGAGAAGAGCGGAGCTGGCTCTGCAGCCAGATTTCGGGGTAGATTAAAGGTAAACTCAGCAGAGCTCGATACCGAATGAACCCTGCCGGGTCTGAGCAGCGATGCTGAGAGCAAGGGCAGTGCGGGCTGGGGGAGAGAAAGGAGGATAAAACCTGGAGACAGTCCTCTGCCGTGGATGCACCTTCAAAGAAAACGATGCATTGAAGGCTTGGGGAGCACCTCATCCCAGTTGAGGACATCTCCTGTTCATTAGCAAGGCTCATTAGCTGCTGAGAGGTCAGTGGCGGTACCCAGTGCTGTGGGGAGAGGTGATGTGTCTCCTGTGCTTGAGAGAAGGAAAAATCCCAATCAGACAGCCTGACCCCACAGCATAGCGAGGCTGCAGGGCACACTTGGAAGAGCAAGCAATTAAAGACATGGAGACAAATGGAAAATGTGAAAAAAATACAAAGGGGACTTGCCAGGGTTATATCACACCAGATTAACGTGATAGCTCTCTTTGATAAGGGAACTGATTTCCTAAGCCCAGAAATGCGGTCAATGTAATCTGTCTTGACTTCAGTGAAGTATTTGCTATGATACCACATGGGAAATTATGAGTTAAACCAGAGAAAATGTGGATTAGTATGAGAGTTGGAACACAGCTTAGGAAATGGCTAAAGGGGATCAGATTGTGCTGAAATGGGAGCTGCTGGGAGGGATGGGGGAGCTTCGGCATCAGCCTTTGGACCACTCTAGTGGTGGTTTCCGTAATGGCTCTGACCCACAAAGACCAGGGATCTCTGGTGGGGTATGCCAGTGGCTGTGGGAGAACCTGGGGATTTCTGGCATGTGGTTTTCACACCAGAGGGGCCAGGATGCTACTTATTGGTGTGAAAGGCACAAAGCACGTGAAGGTGTCTCATCGATGTGCTTCAGGAGGTTGAATGGGAGGACACAGGCAGCTCAACTGGTCCTTGGGGTGGGATTTGACACCCAGGTCCACATCATGGGGGATGTGACCAGAGGCTGGGGGGAGCCAGGCTGTCTCATACCCTGCAGAGATGGGGACACCAGCGCACATGTAGCGGGGACAGTATGCATCCAGGGGTGGGGTGACCCACAGATGGAGAGCCTGCCTTGGAGAGGAGGAAGGGCCCACAGGCTTGCTTTTCCCTAAGGGTCCCAGTTCACAATTCTCCAGGGCATAGATCATCCTGAGCACAAACCAGCAAGGGCAAAGGTGGCACTTTTCCAGGGCAACCTCTTCCAGGGGACTTTGAGCAGTGGTGCGTTGCTCTGCCTCCTTTTTTCAGGCAGCTGAGCATGAGGTGAAGCACAGGAGAGCAACCAGGATGCTCTGTGTTTATCTCCGGTGGATAACCTGCCCTTCAGCATGGAGAGTGGTGGATGCCCAAGCATGGCCAGATGCAGCACGTGGTGGGGCCAGGCTTTTTTGCATGCTGGGCATCCCTGGCCTGAGCCCAGGGCTGAGAACCAGGAGCAGGCAGGAAGGAAGGGAAGGCTCCGGGTACCAGGAGCACGTCGCTGGGCTCCCGGCTGCCCCGGGGAGCCGCAGCTCTGCGTTTGGAAACACGCGGCTGGAGGGCCTAGGGATGGATATAACAAAGACGTTGGGAAATAATGTGCTCTTGAGGTTTGGCACACGGCTCTGTGCATTACAGAATGTTATAAAAATACTGCTAATGGGCCAGAGAGGAGTGGAAACGCGCGGCGGAAAGGCTGCCAGAAGCCAGAGAGCGCACATGGGAGCGGGGAGGCCTTGTATGCAGAGAGGGGAGGGAGGGAGGCAGCCAGGGTGGGCGTCTGTCCTTCCACTCCCATCCCTCTGTCCCTTTCTAACCTGCTTATCTCCATCCTGACCTGGCAGCTCTGCCTGTTTGCACCTCTTCTTTCACCCCTCTGCCTAGCTTTGGGGATACGCAAGTGCTACCGGCTGTTCTGCTCACCCCATCGCTCTGCCTGCTGCCTAACGAGGCTGCTGCTTGGTGGGCTGGGGTGCAGGCAGGGATGGGGTCTGCATGGGAGAGAAAATACAGCAAAATGCCCCTGCAGCAGCAGGAACACAGGTCAGGATGCAGGCAGTGGAGTGGTGGCACAGGGGCTCATAGCCCAGTGCTAGCCCCAGCCCTGCCCCATGGGCATCGCTGCCTCCCAGGCGATGGTGGGAAAGGGACTGGCAGAGGGCACGTGGCTCCAGGCTGACCTCCTTCCTCCATGTCTGTCACTGCAGTGGCTGGCGAGAGAAAGGGGAAAAAACATGCGGTTTGACAGAAAACGACATGGAAAAACAACCAAATTAACAGAAACACAAACAAAGCAAAACCAGAGAGAGGGAGGGGGGAAGGGGCACAGCAACAGGAACCACATGTAAGTGGGGAGGTCGGGAGAGCCCGAGTGTGTTCTCTGGCCTGATTAGCAAGCGATCAAACATTGGCCACTAATAAATAATCAGAGCCTCTCTTTTCTCTGCCTTAGAAGTCCCTTTCCTCCCAGCTGGGCTCCAGCTGCAACGG